TCGACTCTGCCACCGAGATTCTAAGGCATATCGTGCAGACGTGCGTTTGTTAATTCGTGCACCTATCGTCGCCTCAGCCATAACATCTGTTGTATAGGTTCCCCACCGTGGACTTCCACATGGGCTCTCAGCGACTCGCAGTCGGGACGAGCGAAGGCGCGGTAGTAATGTACGACCTGAAGACCGCCACGCGGCTCTACGTACTCGAGGGCCACAAACGGCGGACGACGGCGTGCAGCTTTTCGCCTGACGGCCGGCGTCTTGTGACCGTCTCGCTCGAGGAGTCGGATGTGCTCGTCTGGAAGGTCGGCACGAGCTTCACGAGCCTCTTCATGCCCGGCGTCCCCCCGCGCCAGGGTCACGGCGGGTCGGAGCCGTTCAAGCGGCTCGAGTTCCATATCGGCGATGCTGGTGCGTGTGTGCGAGGTTCTACGAGATGTTCTGGGCTGCTGACGGAGGTTCTGTGGGTTTGTAGCGTTGATGAGCATTGAGGCGACGTTGGTGGATGTGAGCTTGGAGTGGACGAATGATCGGAGCGTGCGCCTCAAGATCAAAGAGAGCATACTGACCTTCAGCACATAGACTACAGCCACCTATTGAGAAGTACTTCGAGACATATTCTACTTTCATTAGACTAGAACGAGCGATGTTTCTTTGAGAAGATCCATTGTAAACACAGCATGGCGACTATTTAGGAGCACGGCAGATGACAGCACGAGAACACCGCAACAACCACAATCTCTATATACTCGGGAGCTAGCGATCCAAACCCAGATTGTCCCGTTTCCGCAGAAGATCAGGGGATAACATGTACATAGCAGTCGTGACGTTCGTTACTTTCATTCACCTCCCAACCTCGAGGCATTTTTCCGCACGACCAACCTGGAAACCCATACCATCACACGTTCCGCTCGCTCCCCCGTCCTTCATCCACGCTCGACATCCGGCTCGCCTCCGGGACACGCGCAGCGACCCACGCCGCGGTCGCGCTTTCCTGCGCGAACGACTCGCGGCGCTCCTCGACGACGAGGCTGATCGTCCGCGTGCGGAGGCGCATCCGCGTCGCGAGCTCGTCCGGGTCGTGCAGCACCGGCAGAGGCGCACTCTGCCCATGCCCATTTCCGTCCTCGCTGCCGTACGCCTCTTTCTCGCCCTCGCCTGCGTGCGAGCGAGGGCGAGGGTGCTGCTCGTCGCTGGAGGAGCGGATGACGAGGAACTCGCTCGGCATGAGCACCGCGCGGTCGAGCGCGACGGGAAGGCCGCGGTGCCGTCCGCGGAGCATGACTGCGCAGACGATGAGCTTGGAGAGGGTGTGCATGTCCCCGGAGAGGGAGTAGTTCAGCTGCAGTGAAATGAGCTTCATGAGATCTCAAGCCGCAACGCAAGGGGTACTCACACCGGGGATCCCGAGTGACAGTCCGACGGTACCGTACGCAGAGACGAGCTCGAAGACTACGTAGCGGTTAGTATCAATCGCTTATCCGAGGGCGTACTGACCCGACTCACTCAGTGCGAATATGTTGAAGTAGGACTGCTTGCCGGGATTCGTGAGGTTGGCGCGCTGCGGGAGAGGGTCAGCCCTACCGCCCCTGAACGTGTCAATCTCAGCTGAAATGGACGATCATACCTCAATGATACAGAGCAGGAACAACGACACAGCTAGCCACCACATGTCTGTTGAACCCAATGCGGGTAAGCTCTTGCCGCTCTCCCAAGTATACCTGACAAGCGTCTTACCGAAGGACAACTGCCGACGCGCATGACGCATCAAGTATCGGCCCCAGATGGCTACGCGGGACTCGGACGGGCGGTTCCAATGCTCATCATCGTTGATCTCGTCGTCTTCGGAGTCGCTCTCGTATACCCCGAGCGATTTTGCTTCGTATACATTGGTTGCACGCACGCTAATGAGACGGCGGTGACTAATAACACGGTAGAGAAGCTGGACAGTTTCGTACCTCATCGCTATAGGGTAGATAGCAATGTACATCATGACAACGGAGAGCACCCTGAATAAAAAGTCAAGATACCCAGCATGCGGGAAGAAGTGCAGTTTCTACGCACTGTACCGCGGGCATGAGGTCTGACATCGGGATCGGCTGGTAGCCCGCGTTCCTACAAGCAGCGGCATCGAGAACAGCATCGACGAACTTGACGCCGAACGGGAGCGAATCCGTCGCCTCGTTCCCGATGTCGAGCACGAGGTAGAAGAACAGGTTCGTGCAGCTAAACGCCCGGTCAGGGTCCGACAGAAGCCCGCCGTGGGCGCTAACAACTTACTTGAGAACCATGACGGTGCCGAGGAGGAGCCACGTCTGCCGCGAGGGGAAGAGGTAGATCGTACACCTTCGCGGGTGGTCGAGCAGGAAGTGCAGGGATTCCTTGGTGCGCGATCGGCCGGGCAGCTTCGTGAGAAGCCAGCTACGGGGATGTTAGAGCTGGTGCTCGCGTGCGGCTCGCCAACCGTACGGTGACTCACATGAACAGACGGAGACTACGGCGCAGCGGAGATGCGGTCAGTGGCGTGCAACGCGGGAATCGAGGCTCAAGAAGCTTACAAGATCGGCTATGGGGATACGCTTCTCGGTGAGTGACAAACTGCGGCACATAGTCGCCCACAATGACGCACCAAGCACGTATTCCCTGCGAGCACGCAGATCACGATGAAGATGATCATCGGGTACGCCGTCTGGAACGGGACCATGTTCTGATCGACGAGCGACATTCCTAGGCATTCCCGAGAGGCTCAGCATATGGTGAATTTGTCGAAAGAAGTCCGTGGTACCTGTGTTTGCCCAGGCGCCCACGATCTGGAACGCGGAGAACCTGTACACGGTCAATCCAGGGCACATCCCTGGGACTGGGATCTGACGTACCAAACAGGGTTGATGACCTTGTGCTGAAGCGGCGGCAGGTAGTTCTCCCGCCATCTCGACATGGACATGTACGGCGCGGTGACGACGAACGAGATACTGAGAAGTCCTATGTAGTACTACATGCGGAAGGAAGATCAGCCTTCACCTTCGACGATGCCGCATGCGATGCCACACTTACCGCCGGTATGATCCATGACAGGGAACACAGCGCGCGGTACTCGACGCCGCCGAGCTCTTCGATATTCTCAGCTGTCAGACCGTAGAAAGAAGAGTTGCGCTTGACGGTGGCGCTGAAACTGAGATACGGGACCCTCTTGATAGGCGCATTGCCGTCTTCAGTGATCCCTCTGGCCGCTTCAGGCACGAGCGTTTCCGTCCGCGGTACAGTGAGGGTGCGCTTTAGGCGACGCTCGAGACGTGGGGAGATTTTGCGAACGAGCGCGGTGAATATGTCCTGGATCCCCGGGAGACCACCGAAGTCGTCATCGGGATGCGCGGGATGACCAGCATGAGGGTGAGGAGGACTGGTGAGAATCGACGCTCGGAACGACCGGCGGCTCGCCGCGCTGCTGAGGACGTCGATGCCCGTTGCCTCGGCCGGTCTGTCCAAGGGGACCCGGGGCGCGTGGGAACCCATGGGATTGATCGGGTGGGGAGCGATATCCAGTCTTCGGACCATGTCTGCGCGCAGGCCAGGCTTGGTGCCCTGTCGCTGACTTGACCTCCTGGAGGATGGAAGCGAATCCGGGAGGCCATCCGCGTCGTTTTGTTGTCTCTCTTTGAAGCGCGCCAGGGTTTCCCTGATATGACGGAGAGAGGGGGAGACGTCCTGAGAGGACGGTACGGTATGATCTCGCTCCATCTCAGCGGTGACGATGTGTCGGAGGTTGCGGAGGAAGTACCATCTGCGAGATCATTATCAGCACGAGGCCGAGGCTAGGAGCGTAAAGGTGTTACCTCCGCACAAGCGCGACAACCCATGCAACGAAAGCCTTGGGCGAATGAGTACCGGTCGGCGTATGATCGGCAAAGAAATATGTACCTGATTACCGATCAACTCGAGAATGACCAGTATAACTTGCTGCCATATAGTCAAAGCACTGAGGTCCGTAGTTATGAGCCCAGTGCCCGTCGCGCCGCTCACACAGATGTACAGCGCGTCTATGAAGCTGATGGGGAACTCTCCGTTGCTTGCCCAGAGGATCGTTGCACCCAGTAAAGGAACGACAGTGCTGCGGTGGTTTCAGCATTCGTGACAAGATATACGAGGTCAGTGAGACGCACAAAGCGAAAAAATGCAGTCTGTAGAAGTTCACGCTGGCCTTGACATATCTCCACAACATGGCTTGTTTCCCGACTGGTCGCGTCCGGACGGCGGCGGCGGATGGCCCTCCTTGGCTGCGCGACGCAGCCGGGACTGGGCGTCAGTAGTCTATCCCGTGCAAAAGTCGGTCAGCAATCGGGTCTGAATACGACGGAGGAGACACAGGGCGCAAGCAGCCGTCCGAGGCACAGCCATGCAGCGAGTCCACCTTGGACTCTATGGCGGACGATCTGTTGCCACCATCACGTGACATACCTGGGCGCTGCATGCTCTCGTCAAAGTTGCCCGAGGACCTTGAGAGGGACTGCATGGGCAGCAGAGGGCGGGGTCGTGGACGACGACCGCCGGACGATGGTGGACACTAAGTACGCGACCACAGGCGCCCAAGCGTGGCCAATGTCCTGATCGGGGCGCCCAGGACCCCGTGTAGCGGACGTCAGGGGACCTCAGACGTCCATTCAGCACTCACCTTCCGTCTTATCAGAAGTGTGTGCTTTACTGGGAGAGCGGTCATTAAGTGCGATACTGGGAGCATTGAATAGTTGGTCGTGGCCTGGAGGAAGCGCGACTCCCATAAACGAACAAGGTTTGTGAGGGGGCGGAAGTTGGTCTTCCTGGGGTCCTGCCGCTATAATTAGTAAGAGCTTGTGATCCTAACAAGGACAAACAGCAACCACGCTGCCATGCAATTCGCGCGTCGCGCTCTACACCGCTCAATCGCAGCTCCGACTCTGCCAGTCGTGTACGCTTCGCAAAAAGTAGGTAGACGAGAGTCTGATGTGCTTCAAAAGCAAAAGGTTTGACGACAGTGGGATTCGAACCCACGCCCTTCCGGACTAGATATGTAGGATATGTTTAAATCCTGATTCTAGCGCCTTAGACCGCTCGGCCATATCGCCTTGGATCAAGACGCCACGGTGAAGTTTGTGAGCACTGTATCGGTGCTCCTCAAGAGCAAAGGCTTGTCCGTACTCATTCAAACCGGCGACCATGGTGAGAAGGACACCGTCGGCTACGTCGCCACCTCGTTGCACAAAAATAAGGCTTCTCGCTGATCTCTTCTCTCCTCATGGATGGGAACTGCGCTGCGAAGCCGGAGGTAAGGCCGCCGGACAATGTCAAGCGAATGACTGAGTCGCTTGTGTGCCATTGGCGGTCCCATGACAAGATCAGCGGGAGCATTGCACGACGGTCTGTCCTCCTCTGATTCGCCGACATCTCATGGCGCTGGTCTCAAGCTGCTATTACAGGGAAAGCGCGTCGCCACCCACGGTTCTAAAAGCGCGCGTTCCTGCCCTGCCAGGTCTGCTCAACGCGTCATCTGCCCTACTCCCGGCGGGCTGCGAACATGCCCTCCGGCTGGGCGTCGCCTCCGTCTCCGTAGTCGCAAGACCAGCAGCCCTCGTGGCCTCGCAGCGCACAGCACCGTCCAAGGTCTTTGTCATCGCCCTCGTGCGTCCGGGAGCGAGATTCGCGCGGCAAACCATCCCAATCACCGAGAGACGCACCATCCGTCTATTCATTCCCTCCCAGGCCGTGGCGGGTACAATGTGACCCTTCTTCATCTCCGTCGCATGTTGCCTCCCAACCGTGTGACCCTGCGCCCTCCGTACTGGGGTCTGTGATTTGCGCTTTCTTCTCATGCCTCCTACGGGTACGAGGTTGAGCGGATCGAGCGGACGCGGTGATGTCAGCCTTGCACGCTGCGTCGGTACGGGGCTAGCGTGCAAGGCCGCCTATACGCGGGCGTACGCCTCGGTATATAATCGTGATGGTACCGGAGCGGTTTCGTCGGGGCCCGCGCTACCGTCGTACCTCTCAAAATGTTCGCCCGGCTGCTCTGCCTTCTCCCCTTCCTCGCTGGCGCCGCGTACGCCGCACCGCTCGAGTCGCGTGCTGCGCCGACCGTCCAGCTCGATCAAGGCACATTCGTCGGCACGACGGACGGTACGACGACCAAGTTCCTCGGAATACCCTACGCAAAGGCTCCGTAAGTCATCCCCGCTGGCCGCTTGCCCTTGTCCGCTGCGGCACTGAAGAAGGTGTGGCTTTCAGGGTCGGCGACCTCCGCTTCAACCTCCCCGTCGCCGTCGATCCGTACACTGGGACCCACACCGCTACGGCCTTTGGACCCGCGTGTCCCCAACAGGCCATCAATTTCGACCTGCCCTCGCAGCTGGCTGAAGATGCCGTCAATTTCATCGTCAACTCCATCTTCCAGCTCGTTTTCCCCGATGACGAGGATTGTAAGACGACATGAATCTCGCCGCATTTTGTGCGTGTCTGACCCCCGCGCTAGGTCTTTCCATCAATGTCATGGTTCCTGCCGGTACGAAGCCAGGCGCGAAACTGCCTGTGGTTGCGGTATGTCCCCCAAGAATATGTCATACCCGTTGATATATGCTCATATGCTGCACGTTCACCAGTGGATATTTGGTGGTATGTGACTCTCACGACGCACCGGATTATCGCTCCAGTGTCTCACGCCCCCTTCAGGCGGTTTTGAGCTAGGCAGCCCAAGCATGTTAGTCATTGATACTCTTCAACAACTGATTGCACCCATACTCACCGATAGAGTCTGATAGGTATGATGGCGGTAGCATCGTGAGCCGGTCTGTCAAACTCGGGGAGCCCGTCATCTATGTGAGCATGAACTATCGGTAAGTATGCATGATAACATTGTACCACCGACCATCCAAACTCACGTCTATGCATGCAGCGTCTCCGGTGAGTGACCCCGAGCATTTCAAACTGTCAAACATATATCCATGCCTGGCGAATAGCCTTCGGCTTCCTGGCAAGCAAAGAAGTCAAAGCCGCCGGCGTAGGCAATCTCGGCCTGCAAGATCGTCAGTACTCACTCCCCATTCGTCCCCTCCACCATACATCGAGATTGACACGGAGCTTATCTGGCACTAGAACGCCTCGCGCTCAAGTGGATCCAGAAGTACATCTCCGCCTTCGGCGGCGACCCGTCCAAGGTGACCCTGTGAGTGGCCGTTCTCACCGGGTGGAGCCGCGCTCGCCCGCGCGCAGCGCTTCGTATTGTCTCCGTCCGTGCGCAGCGCGCTGACTACGGGTCCGGTCGGTCTGGCGAACAGATGGGGTGAGAGCGCCGGGGCGATCTCCGCCGCGCTGCACCTGGTCACGAACGGCGGCGACACGCAAGGCCTGTTCCGCGGCGCGTTCATGCAGTCGGGCTCGCCGATCCCCGTGGGCGATATCTCGCATGGTCAGCCGGACTACGACGCGCTCGTGTCCAAGACGGGCTGCACGGGCGCTGCGGATACCCTCCAGTGCTTGCGTCAGGTGCCGTTTGACAAGCTGAAGAAGGCTGTGGACGCCTCCCCGAACATTTTCTCCCCTCAAGTATGTTGATAACGAACTTCAATCTTCCCCCCGCAAGAAGTGACTGACTCGGTCGCAGTCTTTGCGGCTGGCATGGCTGCCCCGGGTCGATGGCAAATTCCTCGTCGACGCTCCTCAAAACCTGGTGAAATCAGGGAGCGTGGCCAATGTTCCCTTCGTGACAGGAGTAAGTTTTGCGCCGCACCGTTTTGTGCGCCACTCAACAGCCGAATGGTACGATAGGATTGCGACGACGAGGGAACTCTCTTCTCATTGTCCACGCTCAACATCACGTATGTTCCCCTGCTGGCTCCCGCATTCCCGCTGTCTTGCTGATCCGGACGTTTATGAACCATAGGACTGAAGCCCACCTGCGCTCGTACATCACGAGCAACTACCTCCCGCAAGCGTCCAAGAGCGACCTCGACCAGCTCCTGAAGCTGTACCCCGCGGACCTGACCCAGGGCTCGCCCTTCGGTACCGGGATCCTGAACGCGCTTACCCCCCAGTTCAAGCGACTCGCGGCCATGCAAGGCGACCTCGTCTTCCAGGCGCCTCGCAGGTTCCTGCTCGAGAACAGGTCCGCGAAGCAGCCTACTTGGTCCTTCCGTACGTATCACCCTCGATGTTCCTTCGAGTTGCCCTAAATGACGACCATGATCAGTGAACAAGCGTCTGAAAGGCATCCCCATCCTGGGTTCGGTACGTCCAGATCGTAGTCCAGTCATGCGGCCCTCCTAAGCATAGCCATCTCCCTCGCAGGCGCACGCGACGGACATCCTCAACGTCTACGCCGGGGGCGACATGGCCGACTACGTGATCAACTTCGTCAACAACCTGAACCCGAACGGGAAGACGGTGCTCTCCTGGCCGCAGTACTCGACGTCCTCCCCGCAGCTGCTCACGTTCCTCGACGGCATCAAGCCCCTCGCGATCACCCAGGACGACTTCCGCAAGGACGCGATGAAGCTCATGTCGGAGCTCTCCCTCAAGTTCCCGCTGTGATCCCGGCGAAAGTAGCACAGACGGTGGCGGCGGCGGTGAGGAGGGTGGATGTGTTACGCATTCGTTATGACAAAATGACTCGGAACGATTGGAACGGTGTTGATGACCTTGCTTTCCCCTGCTTTAGCTGAATGTATTATTATAGTTTTCTAACATGTTGTACGACCTTCAAAAGTTCACATTGTGATCAGACGCCGAAGACGCACCTGGACGTTCATGCATGCATCCTGCACTGCAGATGCGCCGTGAGTTCTTGCCTGACGCAGGGAACAAAGGGAAACTGCCAATAGACGGGGTGGATATGATTCAAACAGTATGGCTTACAGATACAAGCGTATGATAGCTCGGTGACTGGGAAAGGGGAAGGGAAAGAGGGACAGGGAGGGGTAGAGCACCAACAAATACTCGGAAAGGCGAGGCAAGACGGAACAGGAACAGCTGGTGGCAGAGGGAGAGGGAAGAGCGTTGCTGTCCGGGTCGACGACACAAGTGCACGTGGATCCTGCTTCTTCGTCGGCCTTACATCGCGCCCATGGCGATGCCCTGGAACGCAGAGCCCACTCGCGCGGGCTGCGCAGGCGCGTGGGCCTGCGGGGGAGCGTTCATCTGCAGCGTCTGGCCGGCGGCGAACAGCGGGTGGTTCTTCTCCTCGAGGTCGGCGTAGAGGACGGTCATCTCCTTGCGGGCCTTCTCCCACATCTCGGGGTCCCAGTAGGAGTACGTGCCTTGCTCGCCGCCGGGCACCTTCTGCGATGGCTGCGTGCCCGTCTCCTTCGTGAGCCAGAGACGGAGCTCCTTGTGGTACCTCCAATTCCGGTTGTACCTGCAAACGGCATCCGCGTTTGGTACGGGTCACACACGAAGCATATTGGCACGTACAACTCCTGTGCTGCGATCTCCTGGAGGGCATCCCGCGGAGACGCATAGAACATGAAGAACAGGGTCTCGTCGCTGAACGCGGCAGCCTTGCTGGGACCTGGCGGAGGCGGTTGTACGTTGTAGCACGCCGGAAGGTGGAAGTCGGGTTCTACTGTATGCGCAGCTGACGAGTCGGCCCAAGGAGTAATGAATGAGGGGTACAGACTTCTAGAGCGAGGATGGTCAGCAAAACGGTGCATATTAAGAGCTTGCTCATGCGCACCCAGGGTTCTGCATGTCCAGCCCCATTGTTCCCAAATCCGTGCCTATTGCGAGCAAGCTTGAATCGGGATCAGCGCTCTTGATGAGCGCTAGCAATCCCAGAAGCCCCCAACGGTCCGCGGGCGACATGAGTACTTGCTGAGCGGGCGTTTGTGGCACTACAGGTAACCGCGTGAGCGAAGTTCACGAACAGGTGACGTGGATCATCACCTGCAACAGCTCCATTCGCAACGTATGGCGTCTGTTGCGCAGGCGTTGGTTGCTGGGGCGAGAATGCTGGCGGTGGTACACCTGGAGGAGCGTTCAAGTGTTGCTGTCCTTGCTGCTGTTGTGGCTGTTGAGCGGGCGTTTGTGCTTGCGTGTTCTGAACGTGATTTTGCTGGCCATTAGGGAACGTGCCTGCTGG